TGGAACATTTTCAAAGATAGACAACATGATAGGACACAAAACAAGCCTCATCAATTTCAAGAAATATGAAATCATACCAATCATTTTCTCGGATCACAAGGGACTGAAGCTAGAAACCAACCCCAAGGGAAAAAAACCCAAAACACTCAAAATCATGGAGATTAAATAGCATGCTATTAAACAATGAATGGGTCAAGAATGATATTAGGGAAGAAATCAAAAGGTTTCTGGAAACAAATGAAAACGAACCCACAACAACCCCAAACTATGGGACACAGCAAAGACAGTCCTGAGATGGAAGTTCATACAGGACCACCTAAGAAAGTTAGAAACATTTCAAACAAACAACCTAACCCTACGTCTACAAGAACTCGAGGAACAACAACAAAGACAGCCCAGAGCAAGCAGAAGAAAGGAAATAACCAAGATCAGAGCAGAATTAAATGACATAGAGACTAAAAGCACAATTCTAAGGATCAATGAATCCAAGAGCTGGTTCTTTGAAAAGATAAATAAAATCGACAAGCCTTTAAGCAGACTCATCAAGAAAAAAAGAGAGAAAACCTCAGTAAACACAATCAGAAATGAAAGAGGAGAGATTACAACAGATACCACAGAAATACAAAGGATTGTAAGAAATTACTACAAAGAACTGTATGCCAAGAAATTTGAAAGCCTAGATGAAATGGATAAATTTCAGGAAATATATAATCTTCCAAAACTCAATGAAAAAGAAGCAGAAAGCCTGAACAAACCAATAACAGCAAAAGAAATTGAAGCAGTAATCAAAAAACTCCCAACACACAAAAGCCCTGGACCAGATGGTTTCACAGGAGAATTCTACAAAGCATTTTTAAGGAAGAGCTAACCCCTATCCTTCACAGACTATTTCAAAAAATCCAAAAAGCTGGAAGACTCCCAAACTCTTTTTATGAGGTCAACATCATCCTAATTCCAAAACCAGATAAAGACACAACAAAGAAAGAAAACTTCAGGCCAATATCACTGATGAACATTGACGCTAAAATCCTCAACAAAATACTGGCAAACCACATCCAACAGTACATTAAAAAGATCATACACCATGACCCAGTGAGATTCATTCCAGGGATGCAAGGATGGTACAATATTCGCAAATCAGTAAATGTAATACATCACATAAACAAAAGCAAAGACAATACCACATGATTATATCAATAGATGAAGAAAAAGCATTTGATAAGGTTCAGCACCCATTTATGATAAAAACAATCAGCAAAGTGGGAATAGAGGGAGCATTCCTCAACATAATAAAGGCCATATATGAGAGACCTACAGCCAACATCATACTCAATTGGCAAAAATTAAAATCTTTTCCACTAAGATCAGGAACAAGATAAGGATGTCCACTTTCGCCACTTCTATTCAATATAGTACTGGAAGTTTTAGCCACAGCGATCAGACAAGAAAAAGAAATAAAAGGCATCCAAATCGGAAAGGAGGAAACAAAACTGTCACTGTTTGTAGATGACATGATAGTGTACATAGGAAATCCTATAGACTCCACCAAGAAACTGCTTGACCTAATAAACGAATTTGGCAAAACAGTGGGATACAAAGTCAATATCCATAAATCAAAGGCATTTATGTACACCAACAATGAAACAGCAGAAGCAGAAATCAAGAAGAAAATCCCATTTTGAAATAGCAAAAAGAAAAAGGAAATACCTAGGAATAAACCTAACCAAAGAGGTAAAAGACCTGTATTTAGAAAACTACATAACACTGAGGAAAGAAATCAAGGAAGACACAAACAAATGGAAACATATGCCTTGTTCATGGATTGGAAGAATTAACATCATCAGAATATCTAATCTACCAAAAGCAATTTACACATTCAATGCAATACCTATTAAAGTACCAATGGCTTATTTCACAGACATAGAACAAACACTTCAAAAATTTATATGGAACCATAAAGGACCCCAAATAGCTGCTGCAATTTTGAGAAAGAAGAGTAAAGTAGGAGGGATCACAATACCTGACACTGAACTATACTACAAGGCCACTGTAATCAAAACAGCCTGGTACTGGCATAAAAACAGGCACATGGACCAATGGAACAGAACAGAGAGCCCAGAAATAAACCCAAGTCTCTACAGTCAATTGATATTTGAGAAAGCGGGCAGTAACATAAAATGAAATAAAAATAGCCACTTCAACAAATGGTGTTGGGAAAACTGCACAGCTACATGCAAAAAAAAAAGAAACTCGAGCACCACCTTACACCTTATATAAAAATAAATTCAAGGTGGATAAAAGACTTAAATATAAACCGTGACACCATTAAAGTCCTAGAAGAGAACGTAGGTAGGAAAATCTCAGATATTTCATGCAGGAACTTTTTTGCTGACATGTCTCCTAGAGCAAGGGACATAAAGGAAAGAATAAACAAATGGGACCTCATCAAATTAAAAAGCTTTTGCACAGCTAAAGAAAACAGTATCAAACTAAAGAGAACCAACTGTATGGGAAAACATATTTGCCACTGATACCTCAGACAAGGGTTTAATCTCCAAAATATATAAAGAACTTACATGACTCCACTCTAAGAACACAAGCAACTCAATTAAAAAATGGGCAAAGGGCTTGAACAGACACTTCTCCAAGGAGGACATACAAAAAATCCAAAGACACGTGAAACAATGTTCAATATCGCTAGCTATCAAAGAGATGCAAATTAATACCACAATGAGATACCACTTCACACCAGTCAGAATGGCCATCATAAACAAAGCAACAAACAAGTGTTGGAGAGGTTGTAGAGAAAAGGGGACCCTAGTGCACTGTTGGTGGGACTGCAGACTGGTGCAACCACTATGGAAAGCAGTATGGAACTTCCTCAGAAAACTAAAAATGGATCTGCCTTTTGACTCTGCAATTCCACTGCTCAAAGTATATCCTAAGAGCACTAAAATACCAATACAAAAGAACCTTTGCACCCTGATGTTCATAGCAGCCCAATTTACAATAGTTAGGTGCTAGAAGCAACCAAGATGCCCATCAGTAAATGAATGGATGAAAAAACGATGGTACATTTACACAATGGAATTCTATGCAGCAGAAAGAAAGAAGGAGCTCCTACCCTTTGCAACAGCATGGATGGAGCTGGAAAGCATTATGCTAAGCGAAACAAGCCAGGCAGTGAAAGACAAATACCATATGATTTCACCCTTAACAGGACCCTAAAGAACAAAGCAAAGAAACAAGCAAAATATAGTCAAAGACACTGAAATAGAGGACAGACTGACAGTGACCAGAGGGAGAGAAGAGGGAATTTCAGGGGAGAATGGGAAGGGTTTACAGTAACAAATTTAAAGGACACATGGACAAAAACTAGGGGGAGGGTAGTAATGGGAGGGAAGTGGGGAGGGTTGGGTGGGTGGGCTGGAATGGGAGTAAAAGGGAGAAAACTGTACTTGAACAATGATTAAAATTTTAAAAAAATTTGAGAATGGATGCTAAGCAAAATAAGCCAGGCTGTGAGGTACAAATACCATATGATCTCACCTGTAACCAGAACCTAATCAACAAAACAAACAAGCAAGCAAAATATAACCAAAGACACTGAAATTGAGAACAGGCTGACAGTGATCAGAGGGGAGAGAGGAGGGAATTTCAGGGGAAAAGGGGAAGGGTATGCAGGAACAAGCATAAAGGACACATGGACAATAACAAGGGGAGGTGGAAACGGGTGGGAGGTGGGGAGGGCTGGGGCGTGAGCTGGGATGGGGGTAAAAGGCAGAAAACTGTACTTGAACAACAATTAAAATAAAATGAAATAAAAATATATATGAGAATGGATTATAACCCACTGAGTACAATAGGTAACCAAGAGTTCACATTAAGAAAAAAATTAGTAAATTGCAAGTTTAATGAGAAAGCATTTACCCACAAAAATTAGAGAAACAAATTTAGAGAAATTTAGCATGCACTATTTAATCAACTAATCATGATTAATATGACCAAATGGCACAATTAAAATCATGTGTAACCTGGTAACGAGAGAACAGAGTATCACTTCTGTTACAGGAATATCTGCTAAAGACGTATAACCTGAATCTAATCAATAAGCAAACAGACAAACCTAAGTTGAGAGAAATGCTACAAAATAACTGTTCTAGGATTCTTCAAAAGCGGTAAGGTCTTGGACACCAAGGAGAAGAATGAGGGTTTGGGTTGAAGGAAATACAACTCAACACAACACACTATTGTGCTGAAGGACATGAGTGGAACAACTGGAGAAACCTCGTCAGGGTAGGAGGGTTAAACAGTAGGTAACAATGTATCCATATGATTTGGATTGGTTGTAGAAAACACGCTAAAATATCTGGGGGAGCACTATGTTAGCAACTGCTTTCAATGTTGGCCGGGAGAAGTTTTTAGTACTGTTCTTGCAACTTTTCTTAAAGTTTAAGATTGTTTCAAAATAAAAAAAAAGTGATGAGTCAATTTGTCAATTTCCTTGTAATTCTTACCCATTAACTTTAAAAAAATTGTTTCGCCAATTTGATCGGCCAAAAAAAAAACCTGAATCCCATTTTAATAAAATCTTTTCACAGCACTAATTCCCTTCTAACCTACTACATGACTTATCCTATCTGTCGTTTATCTCTCTACATGAGAACCTGTTTCTTCACAGCTGTCCCTTCGGTACCCTGGGCGTCCCCCATTACCAACCAGTTGTCCCACGAAAGGATGGAGCCGGCACCAGGGCGCGCTGGGAACCCAGTACGGTTCCTAAATACAACGCAACCCAACAGTAGCTGAGGGAACCTTCGTCACCTACCAGGCACCAACACCGGCCTGAACCGCTAGCAGGAGCCCTAAGGAAGGTGCTAGTACCTCCCACTCTACAGATTGTTAAGCAGGTCCCGGGAGGCCAGTGGAAAGCCGGACCTTGTCCGGGGCTCCACGGTGGTCTGGGAGCTCAAACCCCCAACCGGGTGACGGTCGCTCACCTTGGCCTCGGGCTGCCTCTCTTCAGGCTCCCAATTGGCTCTCATTGCCTCGGCAGTCCGACAAGCATGCTCGGGGCCCACCTCTTCCTGCCCTTCTCAGTTTGCACCCGTCTTTCTCCTTCTCCCGCTCCAAGAGACAGTGGAGAGTGGAGCTACAGCTGAAGAATCCCTAGAGCCACGATTCCCTACACTGCCTCCAGAGAACCTACAACCTCCCTTAGCTCCTCGTTTCAGTTCACAACTTGCTCGCGCTCACCGGAAAAGGTGCTACAGTCGCCCAGTCCTGGGGAGGGGAGAGAAGACGGAGCAACCCACGCCTAACGGCTTTACGGATCGTACTGAACTCCTGGCTCCGAACGGTTTTTCCCCAACTGCCAATCGCGCCTCTGATGGAAGGGAAACAGGTGAGCGGGCGCCCCAGAGGGGCTTCCGGACTAAAAACCACGTCCCATACCCTGGTGCCCTAAGATCTCTAGAAGAAGCCAACCAAGGGTTGACCAAAGCCTCCACCCTATCTCCCCCCCCACCCCAAACCTTACTGCTGCGGCCAACCAGCTGCGCCAAGCAGCGGAACGGACCGGAAGTGGAAGGCGGGAGACTTCCGGCAGCTGGTCAGCGCGGAGAAACTAGAGCCTGGAATGGTGAGGAAGAGGTTGGCGGAGTATGCGAAGGGCAGTGCTGGGCGCCGCTGTCTGTGCTTTGCGGCGGTAGGCCGCAGGGCTGGGTGGGATCTGAGCTGTGGGTTGCTGTGGAAGCAGCCTCCATCCTCTGCAACCCCTTGTCTCCAACCGAGCCATGGAGCTGGAGTCTAGGCCTCGGGGGAACTATTGGACAGCGCCCCGTGAATGGTTCAGAAATCGCAGTAGTCCCCACTGCCCCCATAAAGCTTTTCACCCCACCACTTCCTAGTGAGCCGTTCAACTAGTTCATAATATGAATCACTGTGGCCTTGCCCCTGATTCCTGTACATGCTGTTTACGTTTCCCATTTCTAGAGGAGGGTAATGTATTAGCGAATAGCATATGCTTCAGAATGGGAGGATCCTGGACTCATAAACCAAGTGTCCTTTGGCGAAAACTGAATTCGTTTTCTCATCATTAAATATAGGTAGCAAAAGCGACTACCATGTACAGTTGAAGATTAAATGAGGTCACTGTCACAGTGCATTGTCTGCAATGTAGTAAGAATTAGTAAATGTTAGCTATTAACCCCAACTCCCAGTCACATCCCTTAAACACAAAACCAAAGCAGGTGTCTGCCAAGAAGTTTGCTTCACCCACAGTCAAGACCTCAGTAAACTAAACTCTTTGTGTGGACTCAGCGTATTGCCTTTGGGGATTTTTTACCATTTATTAACCTAAAGTAATTTACCGTAGGTGTCAAGTTTCTTTACCCAGATATTTTAAGTTCCTAGAAGACTGGACCTGACTTGTCCTATCTCCTCAGAACTGTGTCGTGCACTATAGGAAGGGCTTGAAATATGCAAAGGCAAAATAAGCTTTTCAATGCACTTTTACCTCTATAATCACTTGAGTACTCAATATTATTGTAAAATAAGGGAGCAGAAAATTAGTCGAAGTATGCAAATATGTACTTTGGGGTCCATATAGGTAAAATGACTACTAAAATCAAGAGAGAGTGGCAATGCAAGAACCAAAGTCTTTTGCTCTCAAAATCTAGTTCAATTTCCTCCCTATCACAATACTTTAATAATGAGCTAAACCATTCATTTGTTTACCTATTCTAGGAGTGTGACTGAGTTAAACGAATGGGGTGTGTGCCGTTAAGGGGCACGTACGAGATCGTGGCCACTTAGTTTGGAGGTTCAGATTCCCAGACAATAAAGACCTAGAGGTGAATAGTTAAGCACTTGCTAAAGTGAGAGCAAAAAGAAAAGCAAGAATCAAGAGCATACATCACCAGACGGGAAATCACCTGCACTGTAACACAGACACTGGGGAATCCCAAGAGGCAGTGGTCGGGATTCGTCTGGGAACAGTTCAGAGTGAAGTTCTTCTCTCGAGTGGGTTTTCAAAGTCTTGCTTTGGGAACTATACTTAAATTGTTTTAGACAAACGTGGCTATGTGCAAAGGGCCATGTGTGATTTTGATTGATTAACCGTTCCCTCCTGGAGAAGGGCCAATTCTCAAGGGAACAGGTAAGATCAAAAGGTACTAATCTCCTGGAGTTCTTCCTGAGAGATAGCACCATATTTTGCTTTTTCAATGAAGGTCACAGCTCAGGCATAAACATGGAGAATTTTCAAAGTCCCTTTAACCCTTCATGGAGTTATTATACATTTTTTAGGCAGCTTGGATTAATTAGGAGAATTAATTACCAGCAAATGAAAATCTGGGAAGAAGCAAATTTAGGTTCTTTTAAAAACTATTTTGTAGCTTCCACTTTAACATTGGTAAAGCAAAAGTATACCCTCATCTTTTGTAGAGCAGTTATTTGACTACTTGTCATTGATTTCGAGTTGACATGTTGGAATGATAGGAAATGCCACCAGACCCAGAAATAAGTAAGTCTGGACTGCCAATGGCCAAAGATAGCATTACATGAGTCACTTTAAAGTGTATAGATATAAAGGAGTCAACAGTTAAAGAAAACAAAATGGTCTATGAATTGGTAGTTTACTATAAAAACTGACTTAACAACAAAAGAAAACAAAAACCTAATGCCTGTGTCATCATATAAAATAATTGTTTTTGTCGGGGTTAGTTGAAGGAGGGGATGGGGGATAAATGACAATGGAAGGAGACTTGACTTGGGGTTGTGAACGCACAATATAATATTCAGATGATATATTATAGAATTGTACACCTGAAACCTGTATAATTCTATTAACCAATGTCACCCCCAAAATTCAAAAAAAAATAAAGTAATAAAATAATTGTTTTAGAATTACATACAAAATCTAAATTTCATAGAAACTGAAAAAAATACCTTTGCAAAAAGACAATTTTAACTTCCATATGGTTTTTATATTTAATAGTGGAAATATATTAAAGACTTTTAAGTAGATATACTCAACTTTAATATTTTGACTTACTTTTTGGCATGACTTTAATTATAGCCATTACATCACAGTGCTTTGGTTATTTTAATATGCTTTTATTCAAACAATGATTGACTCAGCAGTAATTTAACAATTATATGTTTAAGTGTCAATTGATAGTTCTTTTATGTAGTTGAATTTCCAGCAGTATTGCTGAGCACATCAACTGCAGAGACTGAATCTGAATTCCATGCTTATGATCAGCCTCAGGAACATCCAATTCTTTCTGAATTTTGCATGGAACTGACAGACAAAAAGCAGGTATGCCCTTCCCTTTTCCCTACCTCTCTTTTCACCTAACCACCCCCCCCCCCAACAGTAAATAAGCAGGTATGATGCAAATATTAAAATTCAGAAATCAGTTTCAAAAAGAAAATAATAGCTATATACCATTTGGGAATTAGATTTATTTAGCGTTAGGAGAAATAATGTCCTCTCCAGAAGTCCACTGGAATCTTTAAAATTAGGAAGAATAATGTTGTAAAAATGAATATCAAATTTATTTTATGGAAATTTAATACATAAAATTTTTGGTGGTCTGGATTTAATTATTATATTTCTGTGATTTTTAGATTGGTAAATTAATTTTTTCTGCCTTGCAGAGTTCTAGTCATTACATTATTCCTTTCTCATGTGTTATAACATCTTTTCACTAGATAAACTCTTTGTCAGTAGAACCTCTTTTTCTTTATATGCCCCATGTTGCCTAATTATGCACTCAATAATTATGAAATTCGATTTTGGAATTCAGATTTTATGACTCTATTCACACTGAAGTTGATGAAGGGGTCCCCCTGAAGATTTGCCTATCTCAGTTCTGTAAATGGATTTAGAAGATTCAGCAACAGAAGAAAATTGTTTTTGCCACTGGGATTTCAGATTTATCTACTTCAGAAGTAAAATTATGTGCATTTGTTATTTGGTAGGTAAAAAATATTGTATCAATCATAAATGAGTACCATCACACTATGTAATTCTTTATCTCTAATAAGAATTCTACTTGTTAACCTTCTGGGCCAGAAAAAAAAATCCAAGTGCCTAGCAGATGTTAACCAAGAAAAGTATATTTATTCATATTTTCAAAACTACTGTTCTGGGATACTTTAAAAATTTAAACCTTAATTTAAACTTTCTAGATTGTTTTTTCTTTATTCTGAATCCAGATGAAGATGGTTTAGTGAAAACAGTTATTATGCTATTTCCACAATACTGAATAAAAAGAGTACTTGTTCAACTCATATCCTTTGCTTTAATTTCACACTAATGTAGATATAAATGGAAAAAAATGGGCCATTTGAAGTAGATTTTTTGTATGACTGATAAAGCATTGCCATTAATAGTCATTGATAACAATGCTGTGTCATTGCTAGCACAGCATTAATAGTCATATTTGGTTATAGATTGTTATGTTTGGTTTCTGAATTACATGAGCATATATGACTATAAGAGCATACTGTGCTGCATTGGTAAAGGGCAGAGGAGATCATGTGATGATCACCCTAATGAGAGACTTGAGGGACCGTAATGATTTCCCACAACTAGTTAGTGTAGAGATTAAGGATAAAATTTACTTCTAATAATTATATACTGTAGAAGTTATAAGATGCATATTCTAGAATATGTAAGATATATTTTGTTCTGAAAATATGCATTTATATTTAAATGCAAATTATTTACTTTACTTAATGACCTTATTCTGTAGCAATGTAATAATAATTTTCTGTTTTACTAGAGACTTTGCTATTATTTGGAATACTTAAGTCAAACATTAAGTATTGTTCTAACACACAATTTAAGACTATAGACAAATATAATTGAGAGAAAAGTTATAACTTCATAATACTAAAGTTTTCTGATGCCACTAAGGACAGAATACCCAATATATATCTTCAATTGTTTTATTCATTTGTGAAAATTATAAAAGCAAAGATATGAAAAAATACTAAAAGTTCCTTAAAGACATTTTACATTAATTAAATATAGCATTAAAGACAAGTCACTTTTTCAGGGACCAATGAAGTAATGAGTAATTTTGGATCAAATATGTGCTTAGAGAAAATAAACTAATTTATAACAAGTCCAAATAAATGTCTCTAACATTCACCTACACTACAATATTTATTTATTTATGTATTTATCATTATTTTATTGTTGTTCAATTACACTTGTCTACAATTTAACCCCACTGCTCCCCTCCCAATCCCAGCCAAACCCACCTCCATCCCTTGCTTCCACCCCCCATGGGTTTTGTCCATGTGTCTTTTATAGTTGTTTCTGAAAATCCTTCCCCCCATTATCCGCTCCCACCTCCCCTCTGGTTACTCTCAGATTGTTCTTAATTTCAATGTCTCTGGTTCCATTTTGCCTGCTTTTTTCTTTTGTTGATTAGGTTCCTGTTAAAGGTGAGATCATATGGTATTTGTCCCTCACTGCCTGGCTTATTTCACTTAGCATAATGCTCTCCAGTTCCATCCATGCTGTTGCAAAGAGAAGGAGCTCTTTCTTTCTTTCTGTTGTGTAGTACTCCATTGTATAAAGGTACCATGGTTTTTTATCCACTCATTTACTGATGGGCACTTAGGTTGCTTCCAGCACTTAGCTATTGTAAATTGTGCTGCTATGAAAACTGGGGTGCATAGGTTCTTTTGGATTGCTGTTTTAGGGTTCTTAGGGTATAATCCCAGCAGTGGGATCACTGGGTCAAAAGCATTCCATCTTTAGTTTTTTGAGCAAATACCATGCTGTTTTCCACAGTGGCTGTACCAGTCTGCATTCCCACCAACAGTGCACCAGGGTTCCGTTTTCTCCACATCCTCTCCAACACTTGTTTGTTGACTTGTTTATGATAGCCATTCTCACTGGTGTGAAGTGGTATCTCACTGTGGTTTTAATTTGCATCTCTCTGAGCGCTAGTGAAGCTGAGCATCTTTTCATATG